CCCCTAAAATGGTACACTGACCGAGATTTTTTTGGCGACGGGGGGGGGAGCGCCAAAATAATTTTTCCGGAAAAATTTTTTTGACATTTTTTGGGCAATGTGGAATTTTTTGGGCAAAAAAGCTACCGCCCCCCCCAGAATTTAGCGGCCCCGTACGCCTATGATTGTGGGCAGCGGGATTGGGAGGGAACGGAAGTTGTATCCTTAGGAGTAGAATCGTTATTGCCTATTGGGGTGCTTAAGCCTGCCGCACACGAGAGCTATCTGCTGAGCCAAAAGTTACTCGTGCCTGTTAGCTCAGCTGATAGCTCAGCGATCAAACATGTTTGATACGTGAGAAAAGGTTGCATGAGGCAAAAAACTCAGTAAAATGTACCCGCACACGGTGAGCTATCGGCTGAGCTAACAGGCACGAGTAACTTTTTGCTCAGCAGATAGCTCTCGTGTGCGGCAGGCTTAAGCTGAACGCAAACATGCGTAAAATATTGACAAGGGTGCATATATTAAATATTGACTTATTAAGAAATTAAAATATCTTTGTAAAGCGCACGATTTTCTGCTCTTGGGAATTTAAAACAGTTTCTTAAACGGTTTCTTTATGCATAAAATTTACTTATGTCATGCTTTTATGCACTTGTGAGTTCAGCATACAGGGTGAGTAAAAAAAAAAACTGACACCGTTGTTATTCAAATTAGCCGCGAAGGTATCAGTTTTTTTTTACTCACCCTGAGGCATTCAAATTCTAACAATACATTTATTTCAATAGTTTGGTTTTTTTGGAACACCCTGTAGATAAATTCTAAAGCTTAGTTACCTTTGTTCTATTCTATGCGTCTGTGGAAAGGCATTCGACTTGCGCTGTGTCGCCATAGATATCTCGCAGACCGTGCCTAACTCGAAGCGATTTCTAAGATGATTTTGTTGTCCAGGGCAGGATCAAACAACAGCGAAATTAGTTAAAGGGGCAACCCACTGTGAACGTGGCTTGTAAGAAAACTTGGATTGATAGGGATGCACCTGGTGCCCTCCTAGATCTGTATATAAATTATTTGTGCTTTACATCTTATGTCTCGGTGATCCCCATTGAACCTAATCTTATTCCCCCAGCCTGCGATTGGCTCACTGGATTGGCTTCAACCGTGAGCACGGCTTCAAC